AAATAACTACAAGAATGTCATTCTGGTTCACTCCAGCCCCACTAAACTACCATAGTTCAGCCATTAGGAAAATAACTACAAGAATGTCATTCTGGTTCACTCCAGCCCCACTAAACTACCATAGTTCAGCCATTAGGAAAATAACTACAAGAATGTCATTCTGGTTCACTCCAGCCCCACTAAACTACCATAGTTCAGCCCTTAGGAAAATAACTACAAGAATGTCATTCTGGTTCACTCCAGCCCCACTAAACTATCGTAGTTCAGCCATGAGGAAAATTGTTTTCATAAACACAAGTACTTAACTGTAATTTATTTAAGCTGGAATCATGAAAAGAACTCAAAAAGTGGTACTTAATCATTATACAAAATGTTTATCACTGTTAGTAGTAGTAAATGTGGGTTTTATCTGACTTGACAACTTCTACAGAGTTCTGTAATAACTTAAATAAGCTATAAAACATTCATATATTTATATGTTAAATGAGTTAAAATTCAGGTTTATGTTTTAATGTCTTTTGAGTGAAGCTAGCCATAGTACACTTTGGTTATACAAGTGTAAGTTTGTGTCATTAGAAAAAGTCTTTTTTTTTTTCTCTCTACAATGTATATTGTTTGTGAAGGGAGCATTTAGTCGTCTGGATCCATCTGGAAATTTCAAGAAGGAAGCTGTTTCTCAAATTCCAGCTGGCAGGTTAGGAGAAATTCAAGAGTTAGCAAATTTAGCAGCTTACCTTGTAAGTGATTACTCCAGCTGGATTACTGGAGAGGTAAGGCAGACTTTTATTTTTGTCATGACTTAGATTTGGTTTATTCTATTCAAATTAGTTAAATAATAAGATAAATGTATTTAAATTCATTAGATAATTTTGGTTTTCAGGTGATAACTATTTTAGGCTAAACTTGTATTTGATAAACTGGAATCACATTTTAGGAAAAATATCCAACCAGTAAAATGCTGGAACCTTTATCATATTTATGTGGGGCAAGCTGTAAATGGTGGTGGAACCAAAAGAGTGATGTATAAAGGGAGTTGAGTGATGTCATGAAGGTCACCTGGGTCTCCAGGAAGTGTTTTAAACATTTTTCTATTTACTCTTGAATATCTCATTTCCAGAATGGCTGGAAATGAGCCAAAAGGCATTATAAGGTGTTAGAGATGTTTTGTTTCTATGCATTGTGTAGCATCTACAATCTTACTTTTTCTTAGCCATTATACTTCTCAAAGAAACAGTCTTTGTCTAAGCCTTCCCTTACTTGATCACTTCGAAACACAGCCACATACCTCTCTAACCTTACTTCTTTCTCCTTAAACACACATACATCTTAGCCCTTACTTGATCACTTTAAAACACAGCCACATACCTGTCTAACCTTACTTCTTCCTCCTTAAACACACATACATCTTAGCCCTTACTTGATCCCTTAGAAACATACCCACATACTTCTCTAACCTTACTTCTTCTTCCTTAAACACACATACATCTTAAGGTATGTGGGTGTGTTTCGAAGTGATCAAGTAAGGGCTAAGATGTATGTGTGTTTAAGGAGAAAGAAGTAAGGTTAGAGAGGTATGTGGCTGTGTTTCTAAGGGATCAAGTAAGGGCTAAGATGTATGTGTGTTTAAGGAAGAAGAAGTAAGGTTAGAGAAGTATGTGGGTGTGTTTCTAAGAGATCAAGTAAGGGCTAAGATGTATGTGAGTTAAAAGAGGAAGAAGTGAGGTTAGAGAAGTATGTGAGTGTGTTTCTAAGGGATCAAGTAAGGGCTAAGATGTATGTGAGTTTAAGGAAGAAGTAAGGTTAGAGAGGTTTGTGGGTGTGATTCTAAGGGATCAAGTAAGGGCGAAGTAAGGTTAGAGAAGTATGTGGGTGTGTTTCTAAGGGATCAAGTAAGGGCTAAGATGTATGTGTGTTTAAGGAGGAAGAAGTAAGGTTAGAGTTCCTCCTTAAACACACATACATCTTAGAGAGAGGCATGTGGCTGTGTTTCGAAGGGATCAAGTAAAGGCTAAGATGTATGTGAGTTTAAGGAGGAAGAATGAAGGTTAGAGAGGTATGTGGCTGTGTTTTGAAGGGATCAAGTAAGGGCTAAGATGTATGTGTGTTTAAGGAAGAAGAAGTAAGGTTAGAGAAGTATGTGGGTGTCTTTCTAAGGGATCAAGTAAGGGCTAAGATGTATATGTATTTAAGGAAGAAGAAGTAAGGTTAGAGAAGTATGTGAGTGTGTTTCTAAGGGATCAAGTAACGGATCCTTACTTCTCTCCTTAAACTCACATACACCTTAGTCCTTACTTGATCACTTTAAAACATACCCACATACTTCTCTAACCTTACTTCTTCTTCCTTAAACACACATACATCTTAGTCCTTACTTGATCACTTTAAAACATACCCACATACTTCTCTAACCTTACTTCTTCTTCCTTAAACACACATACATCTTAGCCCTTACTTGATCCCTTCGAAACACACCCTCATACCTCTCTATCCTTACTTCTTCTTCCTTAAACACACATACATCTTAACCCTTACTTGATCCCTTAGAAACACACCTACATACCTCTCTATCCTTACATCTTCTTCCTTAAACACACATACATCTTAGCCCTTACTTGATCACTTTAAAACATACCCACATACCTCTCTAACCTTACTTCTTCTTCCTTAAACACACATACATCTTAGCCCTTACTTGATCCCTTTGAAACACATTCACATACCTCTCTAATCTTAATTCTTCCTTCTTAAACATGTGTACATTTTAGCCCTCACTTGTATCTCCAAAAACACACAGACACTTTCTTAACCTTACTTATTCCTACAGTGCAACGTTATTTGCTTTCTAGTCTTTGTTTGCCATTTTTGAACATAGCTAAAGTAAATACTTTTTATCCTTAAATACTTATTCTTGCCATTAATATTAGTCAGTATTTTATTGTGCTAATATGAATTTGAGACAACTGGCAGTAATTGCCATTGTAATTAATGAATTGAATTTTATATACATTATATTCCTGTAAACTTAATATTTGTAATTTGTCAAGGATCTCTCAACTTTTAGTTTTAGTTTAGTGCCTATGTATACTATATGATGACAGGAAGTTGTCAGATATTTGGTGTAAATTGGTTCCTTGTTATAAAACAATGCATCAAAACACAGATTTTTAAGTTTTTCTTTATAATGTAATTTATTTTCAGTAAAATAGTCTTAACTTAGATTTTAGGCTATCTAAAATATTTTTTGTTTCATTAGATTTATATGATTTCCCATCTCTGTCTGTAGAAGCAATCTGACAAATAGTTGGTCGTTTATTCATATTTATTGCTTACGTTTTACTCGTATACTTCAAAAGTGATATAACGCTGTGTGTGTTTAGCTTATTCTTGAACCTTTAACATCAGATATCGCAACATCCTAAAAATACTCAATTTAGTTACATTAGTTTTGGAACCAGTCTTTTCATTCCAGTGTTATTTAGTAAGCTTTGTAAAACATCAAAGTTGGGATTTATAAAAAGCAACTGACACATGAAATTACTGATCACATTTAAAAATAATGATCAAACTTTTAAGAAGGTAACTTTTTTTAGAAGACTTGGTTCTGAAATGTAATCTGGCACCATTTGAGCAATTATTCAGAACATTTGATGTACAGCACCTGAATATTTTAAGTATTAAATTGTATTTTAATTACCATAACATTTTATGTGTGTGTGTGTGCGTATAAGACATATCTCAGTGTTATTCTCAACACTGACCTAATTTTATTAAAGGTTGCTGACCTGAAAATTATCTGTCTTCTTTCTTTTGATGCTATGAAAACCAAAATTAGGACATTCATATGTCTAATGTAACCTCTTAGACCTAAAACAAGCCTCTCACAGTGCCAGCTTTAGTCAAAGATACTGCCATTAGTATAAATATCAAATTAACTATAAACCTATATATATATATATAAAATAGAAAATTATTTAATTTGTTCTGTTGTTAAATGTGAAATTATGCACTAATTACTATTCAAGGTAGAGAATGTTTAAACAGGATTTGTTAGAAAAATTATCAAACAGATTTTATTTTTGTCATAAGATGCCCATGCTAAAGTGTCAGTTTATACAATAGAACCTCGATTAACAAGCACCACACCATTAAGGGCAGACCTTTTCAGTCACTTTCATGTTTCTACTATTTGTAACCAAAATCAAGGTGAAGGAATGAATAATACATTATTTTATAGAATACTATGACATAGTATATTTTCCCATAATTTTGAAATTAGACATTATTCATGGTTATTTACATTGTGGTATTTTAAGAACTCAGTCAGAATTCAGATATTTCAATCAATTTATTGCTCAACTGTTATTGTTTTTTCAGGTTCCCCACTACAGTGTAATATACCTATGTAGTTTAGGTCTAATTGTCCCAGAACAGTAAACAGATTCTATTAAAACATTGTGTTCTAATTCCGCAGGTGATAAGACTAGATGGTGGCGAGCTTCCTTTTCTGGCGGGAGAATTTAATAAGCTTCTTAGTGTGACTCGTGAACAGTGGGACCAAATGGAAAAGTTGATTCGAACAGTTAAGGGATCATGAAAAAATATGATGTAAATCTTTATATGATATGATATTGTAATACAGTATCAAAAAATGTGCATTATATAATGATAAATTTTATTTTGAATGTCAAATGAATTGCCAAATCATGCTATAAATATTAGTTATTGAAATCAAAATGCCCGTGTTGTATATATATAAAAAGTAATTATTTTTGTAAAACGAATTTGCCCATTAAATTAATTGTAATGGATATGGTATGAGATATTAATGTTGATATTAAACATATCTTTCAACAGTTGGGCTGAGAATCGAGGTTTCCAGTTTCTTTATGCATGAATTTGGTTCATTCCATTAAGAGAAGTTCCTTTATAACCTAGTTAGAAATAATGGCCAGTATTAGACAATTTGCTTATCAAAGTATTTTATAAGTTGTTACTCAAACTAAAGAATATGATGTATGAATATCTGCATGTTTAAAAAAGTCTATAAAATATAGAACTAACTTCACTGTTGTTTCTAGATAATTCATATTTTACAGGCCTATGTTATGAAAACTTAATCACTGCTTGTGCTGTTATTGTTATTTTTTCATTTAACATGAAAAATTTTAATGTTTGAAGTAGATGTAAAATCTTAGTTCATTAGTAGTATCAGAGTGTGTGAATGGTATGGGATTCCTCTATTAACAAAACAATAAAAACTTTTGAAAATAACGTGAAAAGCAACAACAAAAAATACATTATGATCTTTCACATAAGGACAAAGGTTTCTCCCATCCAAGCCACAATTTCTGTTTACAACAAAATATTAACTTTAAACAAATTCATACTAATGCCATCTGTGAGCCGCTGGTTAATAACTCAACAATGTAAACATGTACATTGAGCTCTCTCCTAAAATAGATCCTACTTCTGATTCCACTAGCATAGCACTTCTCCATCTGATCGACACAAATCCAAGAACACTTCCAATGTTGTCAATCTGTCCTCTAAAACACTAACTGGAACTCAACACAAACTTCTTAGCAAAGGTTTTAATTTTTCTATTTCTTCTAAAAATATAGATAGTTTGAAGTAATTTCCACCTCCAAGAATTTGCACGCAGATTAAAACTTTGAGAATTTTTTCACAATAAAATCACTGAAAGAAATAATTTTGACTCAGAGTTTAAAGAAAAATCCTTCTGATCACCCCCAACTAACAGGGAATCACACCTAGAAAGTTTTATTACTGCAACTGAAAGTGAAGTAATTCAAGCTATTAACTCTGACTCAAAAGTACGAAACAATCTCTCCCATAGTGAACATACTGCTCTAATTTCACTGAAACACGAAAATGAAATTATTATTAAACCAGCTGATAAGAGCAGTGCCATTGTCATTCAAGATAAAATCGACTATATCAACAAAACTTACAAACAACTTAATGACACAAACCACTATAAAAAGGTAGATCTGAACCCCCACACCGCAATGTGTTAAAATTATCGAATATATGCTATGTAGTTTACAGAAAAGCCAACACATCGGTCATGAGACATTACAGTTCCTTTCACCTAAACATCCAGTTCCAGGTCATTTTTACATGTTACCAAAAATACACAAACCCAATAATCCTATTATTTCTAATTGCGATATGCCTACTGAAAACTTACCTGCTTATGTTGATCACCACAAAGGCTACCCCCCTCCCACATTTGACGTCATACATTAAAGATATCCCCCCACGTTTGACATCGTACATTAAAGACACAACACATTTTCTAACATTAACAGCAACGGAAAACTTCCTCCAAACACTATTCTCTGTACTATGGATGTTTCTTCTCTATACACAAACATTCCCCACAATGAAGGCCTAAAAGCCCTAAAATATTCTCTGCAAAACCTAGACAAACCCAACACTCAAATTATTACAGCTGAACTAGTACTTACACTTAACAGCTATGAATTTAATAATGAATTCTATATTCAAACAAAAGGCACAGCTATGGGCAACTAGATGGCACCAAACTATGCCAACATTTTTATGGGAGACTTATAGACAAAACTTTTGGAAATGTTACATTAATGACCTTTTTTTTCATTTGACTAGGAGACGAAGATTCATCACTCTCCTTTGATAGACATCCTAACACCTTCCACAGTTCTATTAAATTTACTTTAGACTACTCCACTGCCCAAATAAGTTTTTTGGATGTAAACCTAACATTAAAAGATGGTGTTCTATCGATTTTTACCAAAAACCAACGGATAAACCACAATGCTTATATAATCAAAGTTGTCACCTCAACACACCAAACGCAATATCACATTCAATCAAGCATTTAAATTAAAGAAGATATGCTCTGATAGTAAGAAGTATGACCATTATGATTATGACTGAAAGAGGTTATAAACAAAACACTATCACCCAACAAGTTGAAAAAGCTTACAATATACCACGTACATCTGCCTTGAAACAATTACATAAAACCAATTCTTCTCGTGTACTAAAGAAACAGTTTTACCTTCTTCAACTTAATAATTGATTAAAATCTATTTTTATGGAAGTTTCTGTCGTTTCTTTCAGAAAGAATAAAACTTTGCATTCACACTTAGTTTACACTAAAGTAAACTTTAAGCCAACACCAGATGGAAGTCAACCTTGCAATAGCAAGCAATGTTAAACCTTTAAGTTCATGTAGGAAACGGCCAAATTTTCCAATAAAGACAACCAAAAGCAGTTTAAAATCACTAATTCCATAGCCTGCTCTACAAAAAATTTTATTTATTTAATCCAATGTCGAAAATGCAATTTCCAATATGTAGGTCAAACCAAAACAACTATACGGGAACATTTTAATAACCACAAATCAACAATAAAAACAAACAAAGAACTTCCGGTCGGAAAACTTTAACATGCCTGGACACTCTCTTGAAGACATTAAATTTATGGGTATAAGAGAGAAACAGGGAAATTAAAGAAGCTTATTGGATAGCACTGTTAAATACTGTAACACCAAATGGTGTCAATCTCGATCCCGGTCGGGGTTGTTGACCTTCTCAAGTCTGAAAAAATTTTCAAAACTAAATTCATGATTAAACTTACTTTACATCATTAGTAGTATTCTTCCTTAAATTTCTATATATATATTGGTTGCATTTCCTATATGTTGAGCTACATTATTATTTTCTCTGTTTCCCACCACCTTTTGCTGTTTTTTTAATTTTATTTCTATTGTTTATTTTATTTTTGATTTTATCTTTATAGACATTAGTTAACAATTCTTCTATTGTCCCACATAAGTCTTTTATGAACTTTACATACCCCTTTGGCACAAAGGTTTGACACAAACAACTCTAGGTTATGATTGGTTAGATCTCAAGGCCAACTCGTATTGAACATCCGGTTTATGTGACATCTACATCCAAGCCTATATATTTCATCACACTCATTAAACATAACCCTTTGTTCTCCTGAAGAAGAATAGTCAACTATTTGAAAGCGCTCGAGTTTTGTGTCTCATTTTGAAAATATTACAACTTTTGT